AACAAGCCTGGTACCTAGCAATGTCGTGTGGATATCTGGAATCCAGGCACACTCCCACGTCACGTGTTCGCTCTGGGGGTTGGTACTGTCTCTTCAGATGACCCTGGGGCCTTGATCCCTCATCAACGTTCAAATGGCATTTTCTCAAGGAGGCTGACCGTGAGCAGCCCATTGACAGCTACGCGCCTGGCCACCGGCACCCTCACGCCCCTTCCCTGCTCTATCTTCCCCTCACATGTCTCTCTTCCATTACTGATGTATTTATTATATCAATGACTTATTCCTGTCTCCCCTTGCTAGAAGGTACACTCAAAAGGGTTTCAACTGCCCTGTAGAATATGAACGTTTGGGGTACTGTTTGCTCTTTTCCTTATAATAAAGAATAATCAAGAGTAATAACAATAACAACGAATATATTTTCAATTGCTATGTGTTGACCATGTCGATAATGTAGTAAGAATTATTAACCTCATTTTAGAGGATATAAATGAGTCTCAGTAAGAGATAACAACAGGATAAGGTTATATAGCAGTAAACAGATGGGAAGCCTGGCAGCCAAGCTTGTGAACTTCCCATCATATATTTCAAGGAAAAGTATTGACATGACCGAGAAAAACCATATCACAATGGGAGAGCGGTGATGGGGGGAGGGGTGATAGGCAGATACAAATATTTGACCCGTTTCCTATCTGCTGAGCACAGCTTTATAAAGCTGTTTGGGGCGCCTGGGTGGCTCAGTCGGTTAAGCGTCTGACTTCGGCTCAGGTCATGATCTCACAGCTCGTGGGTTCGAGCCCCACGTTGGGCTCTGTGCTGACAGCTCAGAGCCTGGAGCCTGCTTCGGATTCTGTCTCCCTCTCTCTCTGACCCTCCCCTGCTCACATTGTCTCTCTCTCTCAGAAATAAATAAAAAACGTTTTTGAAAAAAGCTGTTTGAGGATTTGTAAGTAAAAGAACGTAAATTTTGGGACTCCTGGGTGGCTCAGTTGGTTAAGCGTCTGACTCTTGATTTTGGCTCAGGTCATGATCTCACGGTTCGTGAGCCTGCTTGGGGTTCTCTCCATTTTTCTCTGCCCCTCCCCTGCTCATGCGCCCTCTCTCTCTCAAAATAAATCAACATTAAAAAAACAAGAAATTTTACTAGAAGGAACGTGATGAGGGGCGATTAAAATTTTTTTTAAGTTTATTTCCTTCTTTTTTAAGTACTCTCTACACCCAAAGTGGGGTTCAAACTCAAAACCCCCAGATCAAGAGTCACATCCTCCTTCAACTGAGCCAGCCAGGTGCCTTGATGAAGGTTGATTTTAAATATCCTGGATAAACCAAGATCTAATTTAGCTCAGGAAAACATAATTGAAAATAAAATCTCTTTGGGGGACCTGGGTGGCTCAAGTTGGTTCAACATCTGACTTTGGCTCAGGTCACGATCTCACAGTTCATGAGTTCAAGACCCACGTCGGGCTCTGTGCTGACAGCTCAGAGCCTGGAGCCTGTTCAGATTCTGTGTCTCCTCTCTCTACCCCTCCCCCACTCTGTCTTGCTCTCTCAAAAATAAGCAAACATTAAAAAAATTTTAAATGCTTTTCTAACTCTGTGTGTATACATACATATACAATTTATTGAGGTTATGCTCTCTATAGTTCTACATATACAGAGTTATAATGTTTTTGTTCTTTTTTTAATGATAAATGTAATAATTTCAAGAGCAGAAATTAAAGCTTGTTTGCAAAAAGAGGAGTGTGTGTGGGGGGAGGGGGCGTAACTTCTAAGCAAGTACAAAAACATACCAAAAAAACCCTACAAAGAAATAAACACTATTGTTACCGCCTGAAAAATACTGAGTATTAGTTGTAGTAAGTTTGAATATTGTCATAGGAAAAGCAAGAGAATTAATTGGTGGAAACTTCTGAAAATAACAACGGACATTAATATAGAATCTGAAAGTTTAACAAGAAAACGATAAAACTCTTTTGGGCACTCTCTGAGAAGATTTGAATGGAAGGAGAGACTTCAAGCTTAGCTATAAGATGGTGGGCACGATGCCTGGGGGGCTCAGTCAGTTAAGCGTCTCACTTGGGCTCAGGTCATGATCTCATGGCTTGTAGGTTCGAGCTCTGTGTTGGGCTCTGTGCTGACGGCTCAGACCCTGGAGCCTGCTTCTGATTCTGTGTCTCCCTCGCTCTCTGCCCCTCCCCCACTCATGCTCTGTTTCTCTGTGTCAATAATAAATAAATTTTAAAAATTAAAAAAAAAAGATGGTGGGCACGGTGCCCGTGGAGAGAAAGAGACCACGATAAAATCACCCAGGCCCCAGCCGCATCACAGGCTGATCTCAGAATTATAATGTGGGAACTTTCGCCCCACTAGGCTGACCATTATGTGCAGTAGTAGCTTAATGGGCATAAAACCAGTGAGAGCCACATCAAGGGCAAGCCGGGGGACAGTTGGAACACAGAAGGGGGCCCTGTGGTCCAGGGACTCAGGACTGGCTTCTCACTGGGGTGATGTGTGGACCCTAGGACTAGTATCCTTAGCAACTGGGGGCTCAGGAAAGGGGTCAGAGCTTCAACCGGTGTGAAATCTACATACCCCACCTTTGTAGTCAGAGAGCCCCAAACAGGAAGTTTAAGAGGCCTCAGGTGAGCACACGGATTCCAAGTTGAAGGTCTTGAGCTCTAGTGATGAGAGGTCTCAGCTTCCACCGGATCTCTGCAGGCAGCGAGGCTGTCAAATGCTGACTCCTGAAATATCACCAACACTACCTGTTGATTTGACAAGGCTGAATGCATTCCTTACCTCGGTAAGGGAGAACCGCACCCCCCAAAGTTTTGGGAGCATTTCAGGGAGGAAAGGAAAGGTCAGAATTTGTTGAGCAATGAAGGTTTGATTTAAGGTAGAAGGTCTTTCAGCACGGAGACTTGATTAGGATTGGATGAGGACCAGGATGTCACCAGTCTAGGATGGGTGGAAGCAGCAAGGGAAGATTTCAAGGACAGGGGAGGATTTTAAGGTATAGACTGTTGCTGTTTTTCCATTGAAGAACTGATGGTGTTTTGGGAAAGTTCCTGTAATGAAGACACTTTTGCCTGGACAGGATAGTCCTGAAAAAGAAATTCGAACGAAGACAGTGGACTAGCAAAGTAATGTTTATGTCCACAGTAAGGGGTGTTTTTATTTCTCCGTGTTGAGGAAGAGTGTGGCAATAGATTGTTTTTTTCAATAATATTTAAAAAAAATTATGTCTTTATTTTATTTTGAGAGACAGAGACAGAGAGTGAGCAGGGGAGGGGCAGAGAGAGAGGGAGACACAGAATCCGAAGCAGGCTCCAGGCTCTGAGCTGTCAGCACAGAGTCCCATGCAGGGTTCGAACCCACGGACTGTGAGATCATGACCTGGCCAAAGTCGGACACTCAACTGACTGAGCCACCCAGGCGCCCCTGTGATAGACTGTTTTAATTCTCATATGTTTACCATTTTTATGAATAATTCACCTTAGGTATGCGTTTCCTTTGTGGTGGTGAAATTCTTTCGCTTCCCTGAATCTCCAGGAAAAGATGACCTGAGCAACAATTTACATAACTGGCCTTAACCAGTCTGCCAAACCCATTAGGTAAGGTAATAAATTAAAAAAAAAAATTTTTTTTTATTTCTGTGAAGAGAGAGAGAGAGAGAGACAGCCTGAGCAGGGGAGGGTCAGAGAGAGAGGGAGACACAGAATCTGAGGCAGGCTCCAGGCTCTGTGCTAGCTGTCAGCACAGAGCCTGACGCAGGGCTCAAACTCATGTACCCATGAGATCATGACCTGAGCCGAAGTCAGATGCTTAACCCACTGAGCCACCCAGGCGCCCCCCCATTAGGTAAGGTAAAACCCAAAATTCGGGACACCTGGGTGGCTCAGTTGGTTAAGCGTCTGCTTTCTGCCCAGGTCATGATCTCACAGTTAGGGAGTTCGAGCCCCACATCGGGCTCTGTGCTGACAGCCTGGAGCTTGGAGCCTGCTTCAGATTCTGTGTCTCCCTCTCTCTGCCCCTCCCCTGCTCACACTCTGTCAAAAATAAACATTAAAAGATATATAAAAAAACCAAAATTCAACTGAGTAAATTTTAAAGATCTTATTGGTATATTTAACGATTCGCGACTTTTCTGACTCCCTAGCAGACAGAAAGAAGCTCGCAGGAGCCGTACAAAATGAAAGATTTTTTTATACCAAAGGGAGCAGGAACACGGGAGATACCAGCAAAAGGTGGACTGGTTGTGGGGCGACGGTCACTTTCTTGTAGGGGACGGCAGGTTGGCCGGTTACTTCACTAGTACTGACCAGGTGATTCCTGATGGCTTTAGGATTCCGTTTCTGGGAGAGGCTGAAACCCAAATTAAGTCTGGGTTTGGTGATCCCCCCTCCCCCCACCCCCCTCCAACTTAGCATAAGCGACTCCATTTTGGGATAGCTGTCTTATTTTTAATACGTGGATTCTTTATTTAGTCCTCGCAAATACCTCCTCGATCTGTTATTATCCCTATTATAGAGGAGGAAACTGAGACTCAGGGAGGTAATGAGCTCACATTCAGGCACCTGCAAATACATTTTTCCCTCCAGGGGCATCAGGAAAAGCCCGCCTTCAACCAGCCTGCCTTATTCTGTTCCATTTTTTGTAGAAGGGAGCTGAGATCCAGGTTCAAGACAATTATTGGGCCCCTCTGCCCTCTTTGGGGTCCCTGGAGAGGAGGGCAGGGTGGAAGGCAAAGGCCTTCAGCGATGCCAGTCTGGGTCTGGGTGGGCTCCCCTCGGCGTCCTGCACCGCCGGGGCCTCTGCGGCGGCCAATGCCACCCCCTCCCCCGCCCTCCCCCGCAGAGGCCTCACCTGGGCTGCCCGGTGCACCGGAAGCGGCCGGCGCGGGTCCCCGGGGCCGTGCGCGTCGCTGGTCACCAGGCGGCGCTGTGCGACACAACCGCGGGCGCCGAGGGACGGCGGCCACGTGGCCGGGGAGCGGCGCGCGGGGTCCTGGGGTCCGCCCCGTGGCCCCTGCCGGCTGCGGGCGCGCCCGGCCTGCTCCCCCCGCCCCTCTCCTTTCGATTCTCGCGGGCCACACGGGGGTGCTGCGGCGGCGACGGCGACTCCGGTCCGGGCTCCCTGACCTGTAACCTCCCGGCGACACTGCCGAGCAGCCGCGTGAGTTTCCCGGGCACCAGGAGCTCCGGGGAGGAGACGCCTCGCTCCGGCTTTGTGGCCGGGGTGGCCCTTCCCGCAAGGCAAAGGAGGGGAGGGGACTCGGTGCCAGGCTTTCCCCTAGCTCGGAGGGGTGCTGTCACAGCCCGTCGCACCTCCCCGCAGCCCTTGGGAGGGACGCGCTGTCCCCCCGGAGGACCCCCTGGGAGTGCACCCAGCGGGGGTGGGGGGTTTGGATCATTTGGCTGCTCTGCGGGACCTCCTCGCCCCATAAGCCCTGGCCAAATCACCCCGCCCCGCACTCCCCACATCGACATTTTCACGGCTCTGCCCCGATGGAACAGTCGGTTGTGAACAGGGCTCTTGTGAGTTGCCAGAAGTGACTCCCTTACCTGGCTGCGCCTCTCACTTGCAGTGGGGGCTGTAGGCACGCGCCCGTCTAGCCCGGCAGGGGCCACGGATCGGCCACGTTACACCCAGCCGGACACCTCAAGATGCCTTACAGTTTCTCTCTCTCTCTCTCTCTACCTCAAGATGCCTTACAGTTTCTCTCTCACTCTCTCTCTCTCCCTCTCACACACACACACACACACACACACACACACCTGCCGACTTGAATGCCTCTATAAGCACAACCCCCAGCCCCAAGCGACAAAAATGCCTGAGAAACTGCATTCACCCCATTCTTACCAAGGGCGGGGTAGTCCAGCTGGGGGAGGGGGTAGTTCATTTAGAGAGAGATGAAATAATGTGATAGATCGAGGGGTTTTAACAAGAGCCTTACGCTTTGCACACTAGCAAATTCACTGATTTTTAAGCGTGCAATTAGTTTTAGCAAATCGACAGAGTTGAGGGACCCATCACGGCATTCTGGTTTTAGAGTATTTTCACACACCCCCCTCCCCCCCCCCCCCCCCCCCCCCCCCCCCCCCCCCCGCCGTAAATTCCCATAAAGCTGTTCGCGGTTCATCTCCCCGCGGACCTCTAGCCCTAAGCAACCATTTATCCCTCTTCTGGCTCTAAAGTTNCCCCCCCCCGCCCCGCCGTAAATTCCCATAAAGCTGTTCGCGGTTCATCTCCCCGCGGACCTCTAGCCCTAAGCAACCATTTATCCCTCTTCTGGCTCTAAAGTTGCTCTTTCTGGACGGTTCATATGATGGAATCAGGCAATGTGTGGTCTTTGGGGACTGGCGTCTTTCAGCTGGCGTGATGTTTTCTAGTTTCATCTATGTTGTCGCACTTACCAGAATGTCGTTCCTTTCTATAGCTGAATACACTCGATGGGGCGGATATATTGTGGACACAGGTTTTCGATTCTCGTGATTTCACTGCCCTCTCTTGCTGCTTGTTCCCCTTAACATCCTTTGCCGACCTCTACCTTAACCCTTAGCGCACTGCCCTGTGAACTTGACTTCATTCTCTGACTCTCCACTAGAGAAGGCAAGGGCCATGTGCACCCCTTCCCTGGGAGAGGTGTGGAATTTCTGGGCCACGTGGCAAATGTACGTTTAAACTGTTGTAGGAACTTCCAGACTCTTTCCCAAAATGTCTGCACCATTTAGTATTGCCAGGGGGAAGTTAGGAAGGTTCCAGTTCGGCCATCTCCACACCAACACTATTATTTGGTCTTTCGCTTGGTATCTCATTGTGATGTTAATTTGCCGAGCCGGAGTGGGACTTGAGTCGCTTCCCTTTAATGACTGGCTTTTTCAATATGATAAAATCGAGTTGCTGGAATGAAGAATACAAAGCCCATCCGTGCAAGGGGGCGTGGCTCCCCGGGGGAGACAGAGAGACATAATTATAGTACAGTGTGTTAAGTTTTCTGCTGGAATTGAGCACAGGATGGTGGGAGGAGCAGAGAAGAGGGACACCTAAGTTGGGAGGACGGAGGAAAGTGTTCAGGAAGCCTTTTCTAGAAGGAGATTTTAATGTGCCTCTGGTTTTCTTTCTTGTATTTTTACCCAAATTATACAAGTACATAGTTTTAAAAAGTCAAATAGTTCCGGAAGCTTTGTTATTTTTTATTCTATTTTTTAAAAGTATTTATTTATTTGGAGAGAGAGAGAGAGAGAATCCCAAGCAGGCTCCACACCGTCAGAGCAGAGCCCGATGCGGGGCTTGAACCCACAAACCTCGAGACCATGACCTGAGCTGAAGTTGGATGCTCAATGGACTGAGCCACCCAGGCACCCCATTTGTTGTTTTTTAAAAAAGGAGTCCCCAGTATTTCTCCCCATTTCCTGCTCCCCCCAAAGCAATCAGATTCTATTCTTTTAACTCTTTGGCTATTTATTTCTATATCTTTAAATAATATACCATGTTTATATTTGACAAGAAAAATAGCCTTGACATAGGCCCACTATCACCTTCACTTGCACTCACCTTTTCTAAATGTGTATTTATTTTTGAGGGAGAGACAGAGCATGAGGAGGGGAGGGGCAGAGAGAGAGGGAGACAGAGAATCCGAAGCCGGCTCCAGGCTCCGAGCTGTCAGCACAGAGCCCGATGCGGGGCTCGAACCCACAAACCGTGAGATCATGACATGAGCCGAAGTCCTACGCTTAACGGACTGAGCCTCCCAGGCGCCCCACACTGTTTTCTAAATTGGTCAGCCATGTTACTATCAACACATGGTTAATTATGAAAGCCACAGTCATAATGCAACTTACCTACTGGCAATTTTAACCACAGAAGGCAGGTATTACTAACAGATACTAGAATAACAGAAGCAAGGCAAGATCATGCATTTTAAAGGAATGGCTAAGGAGTGTTCCTCCTTGCTCCTTTAGTACTATATAACTTCAATAAGCCAGGACCCAATTCTAACTGTTAATTTAAAAGGATGTTCTTTTCACTCAAAAGGACAAGGAAAAAGCCAAATCTCAGACCTGCAGCATAGTACCGGACGGAGATTGGCCAGCCATGACCTGCGAGCTCAGAAACGTTTTTTATCAGGTGAACATTTACAATCAGTTCAATTGTGGGGAACACTTAGCTTTCAACCACGATTGAACAAAATATTTTTCTTCGATTCCATTTTTTTATCAGTAGACCTGTGTCGCAAAACCACGCAATTATATTTTTATCACTTTATTTGATTATAAAGCCTAAAATATGTATTTTCTGCCCTTCCAAGAAAAAGTTTGACAGCTTTTGGTTTAATAGAGTAAACAGAGAAACAGAAAGCAGTTGCCACATGCTTGCTGGGTGACCTTGGAAAGTCACTTCACTTCTCTGGTCCTGATTTTTGTCATCCGTAAAATGGAGATAAAGGGTGATGGGCGGATGAGATAAACTCTAGGGTGAAACCCCCCCTTCCCCTAAGTTTTATGTTTATTCGTTATTAGGGCGCCTGGGGGGCTCAGTTGGTTAAGCGCCTAACTCTTGGTTTCGGCCCAGGTCATGATCTCACGGTTCACGAGTTCGAGCCCCACATTGGGCTCCATGCTGACAGTGCAGAGCCTGCTTGGGATTCTGTGTCTCCCTCCCTCTCTCTCTGCCCCTCCCCTGCTCTCTCTCTTTCTCTCAAAATAAATACATAAACATTAAAAAAGTTAATTGGGGCGCCTGGGTGGCTCAGTCGGTTGGGCGTCCGACTTCGGCTCAGGTCATGATCCTGCGATTCATGGGTTCAAGCCCCACCTTGGGCTCTGTGCTGACCGCTAGCTCAGAGCCTAGAGCCTGTTTCGGATTCTGTGTCTCCCTCTCTCTCTGACCCTCCCCTGTTCACACTGTCTCTCTCTCTCAGAAATAAATAAAAAACATTTAAAAATTTAATTAATTACGTAAACATATTGAGCTACTACCATGTACCAAGAGCTATTAAAGGCATTGGGGATACAGCAGGAAACAAAATCCCTCTCCCGAAACAGGATACTGTTCTAAATGAAAAGAGACTTAAGATGCAATGTGTGGTCCGAGATTGGATCCTGATTTGAACAAGCTAGCTTTATAGGATACTTGGGGAAAAGCGGGGAAATTTGAATATGGATGGGTATTAGATGAGATGAAAATTTATTATCATGAAATGGTAGAGGCGATTAACTGAAGAAAGCAGTTAGAAAGCATATGTACACATATTATCTCATTTTGGTAGAAAGTGCATATAGGTATTATGTAAACTTAGAAGAATTCTTGATCTGGAAGAATATATGGTAAGCTCTTTTTAAATGTTATTGTTTATTAAAAATTTTTGGGGAGCGCCTGGGTGGCTCAGTTGGTTAAGCATCCGACTTTGGCTCAGGTCACGATCTCGCGGCTTGTAGGTTTGAGCCCCGCGTCGGGTTCTGTGCTGACAGCTCAGAGCCTGGAGCCTGCTTCGGATTCTGTGTTTCCCGCCTTCTCTGCCCCTCCCATGCTCGTGTTCTTTCTTTATCTCAAAAATAGACATTAAAAAATTTTTAATGTTTATTTTTGTTTAATGTTTAATATTTATTTTTGTCTAATTTAAATGTTAAAATATTTGTTTTGAAATTAAAATTTTTTTTCAAATGTTTATTTTTGAGAGAGAGAAAGAACACGAGCAGGGGAGGGGCAGAGAGAGAGGGAGACACAGAATCCGAAGCAGGCTCCAGGCTCTGAGCTGTCAGCAGAGAGCCTGATGCCAGGCTTGAGCCCATGAACCGTGAGATCATGACCTGATGCTTAACCTACTGAACCACCCAGGTGCCCCCTAATTTTTTTTTTTTTTTTTAGTTTTTTCAGATAGAGAAAGAGTGCAAGCAGGGGAGAGGCAGAGGGAGAGAGAGAGAGAGGGAATCCTAAGCAGGCTTCATACCCAGCTCAGAGCCCTACACAAGGCTCCATCTCATGACTGTGAGATCATGGCCTGAGCTGAAATCAAGAGTCGGCAGCTCAACTGACTGAGCCCCCCAGGCTCCCCTGTACTAAGCTCTTAATAGTGGTCATTTCTGGGTGGTGGGAATATAATGTTTCTATTTCTTTTCTAATTTTCTACATTGAACATTTACTGCTTTTGTAAAAACACAAGATTCTGTCTACTTGAAAAAACACGCTCTCTCTCTCCACGGAATTTACACGCAAGTGCCTCTCGTAAGGGTGAATGTTGCCAAATCTGTCCCTTTTTATGGGGGAAACATCTGTGAAAATGGACACTGCTCTTTCCCCGTGCAGGTAACAAAGGATCAAGGCTTTGTCTGTGAAATAGCTGCAGGTGTAAGCTGATGGCCGCTGGCATTTTTCTTGGAGTTGTACTGGTAAGTAGAGCCTTCTTATACCTAGTGCTTTAGAAAAGGGTGGGGTTTTGTAGGGTGGCCGGCACGGAAAAAGGGCTAGAGAGGCAAACGTTGGCAGTGTCCATTGAAACGTTGTTTGAGAGGGGACACGCCCAACCTGATACCCGAGTTAGGTTTATTTCTTGTATCAGTGGACACATCGATGCGATTAAGTTTTTCAGTCTTGCAACTACTTGTCTTATTCGAGGCCAGGGGTCCATAAACCCTGCCATCTAGTTTTGTAAACCCAGTCTCATCGGAACACAGGCACACGGACTTGCTTATGTGTTATCTATCACCGCTTTTGCCCTTCAAAGGTAGGGCGGGGGCAGTGGTGCCAAGACCGTATGTGACCCAGCAAACAAAACATATTTACTGCCTGGCCCTTTAAAGAACAGGTGTGTGGAGCCCTGTTCTAGGCTGGCAGGAAGGCCGCCTCAGTGGGCGTGCCTGCGGGGAGGGAACACCCACTTCCGTGTTAAATTAACACGCGCTCGCTCTTATTTATAAACCCCGTTCTCTCCTGAGCTGTACTAGCGCGCACCAGTATTCCCAGTTGCGGAAAGCTCTAGGTCCCCCATAGTATTGGCTTTCTCATCGGGCGAGGCTGAGGCCAAGGCCAGACCACAGGAAACCAGAAATTTCAGCAAGGTAAACGAGAGCCTGTGTGAGCCCCATCACAACTGGCAAGTTGGTCTTCCATTCATCTAGCTGAGATCTACTTAGGCTTCAAATCTAGTTCAAGTGCCTCCTCCTCCCAGAAGCCCCCTCTTTCTATGGACCCTGATTTCCCCATCCCACGCCAGTGCTCCCACAGCACCCTCGCAGACCTCTTTCGTAACACTTAGCACCCCAGCCGGTAAGCACGGACTCCTTCTCTGACTCTCCACCAGAGAAGGCAAGGACCGTGTGTGCTCGTTCCCTGGTATAGCCCCTGAGCCCAGCCTAAGCCTTGCGTATAGTAGCTTACGAGCTACGTGTCCTGGGCCATGTCACTTCTCTGAACCTTAGTTTTCTTGTCGGTAAAATGAGGACAATAGTAATAGTAGCTCCTTCGTAGTGGTGTTGTGAGGATTGAATGTGTGTGTATTAGCTATTCGGTGACTCCTTAATGAATGAATGAATGAATGAATGAATGATGTACAGGAAAGCAGACTGTACAGGGAATTGTGAAAGTCCGCCCCAGCCTACACAGACTAAATGACGGTTATCGAGACAGGGTGCTATCTACCTGGCGATCGGGGATGAGTCCTTTAAAGAGGTGACATTTGACATGAGACTGGAAGGAGCCAACCATGAGAGGAGCTGGAGAAAGAACATTCTAGGCAGAGGAAGACTAAGTGCAAAGGCTTGAATCCATAAAGGATTGAGCCCCGTCAGGACATGGAAAGCAGCAAACGAGGCCAGAAGGGTGGAGAGGTTGGGCTCATTCTAAGAAGAGAAGGCAGCTGTTTAATGATTGTAAGGAGGAGAATTCCAAGAGCTGTCACTCTGTTTCAAAAACTTAAAAAATATCAGTGTGGGAGAATGATGGCCTCCTCCAAAAATGTTCACGTACGAATCCCCAGAACCGAATGTGCTGCCTTACACGACAGAAGGGACTTTGCGGCTGTCAGTAAGTAAAGGACGGAGACCTGAGGATATTACCCTGGTGGGTCCAATAAGATTACAAGGGTGCTTATAAGAGGAAGACAGGGGCCCAGAGGATGGAGGCTGCAGATGGTCAGGGAGGTCCCAGGATGCTGTGCTGCTGGCCGGGGGGCGGGGGCGGGGGGGAACGAAGTGGCCATAGCGGAGGAATGTAGGCAGTGCATAGACGCCTCCAGAAAGAACACAGTCCTGCCCTGCACCTGCGGTTTTAGCCTTGTGAATCTTTGGACTTTGGAGGTTCAAAACAGTAATCTAATACATGGATGGCATTCGAAGCCCCTGAATTTGTGGTGACTTGTCAAAGGGGCTATAGAAAACCACGGCTCCTCGTGTGGAAAGATCCACCCGAAAGTCATGCGATTGGGAGTTGGCAAGGGCGGATGGGAAGAGGGTAGAGAGGGCTGGGAATGAGGGAGGAGGGATGGGAACTTTTCTTTGGTATTGAGTGCTGATTTCCGGAACTATGTTAACGTTTCACATACTAAAAAGGAAGGAAGGAAGGACGGAAGGAAGATGACAAGAGAACCCAAAATGGAATATGGACAGAAACAGAGGAACTGACTCTATTACAGATGAATAAGAAATGTAATGAGGAATGGGAGAAAATAACTAACCTAAGTGTTAGGGGCTGAATTGTGTCCCCTCAAAATTCATGTGTCGAAGCCCTAATCTCCGATGTGACTGTATTTGGCAGTAGGGCCTTTAAGGGTGAAATTAACGTTAGGGGGCGCCTGCGTGGCTCTGTCCGTTGAGTGTTCGACTCTTGATTTTGGCTCAGGTCATGATCTCGGTTCGTGAGACCGAGCCCAGCATCCGCACGGAGCCTGCTTGTAATTCTCTCTCCCTCTCTCTCTGCCTCTCCCCTGAACACACTCTCTCTCTCTCAAAATAAATAAACATTAAAAAAGGATGTAATTAACGTTAAGTGAAGTCATAAGGGTGGGGCCCTAATCCGATATGACCAGTCTCTATAGGGAAAGGAGGGGGTTCCAGGATATGCACAGAGAAAGATTCATGTGAGGACCCAGTGAGAAGGCAGCCATCTGCAAGCCAAGGAGAGAGTCCCCAGGAGAAACAAACCTTGCTGATCCCTTGATCTTGGACTTCTAGCCTCGAGAACTGTGAGAAATAAATTTCTACTGTTTAAGTCACCCATCTGGGGGTATTTCGCTTTGTCAACCCGAGCAGACGAAGGCACTAAATAACTTCGGAAAAGAGTATTTTCACTCTGTACTCTGCAGGAGTGGTTCTCAAACTTTGGGGTACGTCAGAGTCACCTGGGGGGCTTGTTGAAGAACTCTGGGCGATGGTCTCCACCTCCAGTGCTCCTAATTCAGTAGGTCCAGGGGGGAGCTCAAGGATTTACATTTCTTTATTTTTAAAAAATTTTTAATGTTTTAATTTGTTTTTGAGAGACAGAGTGCGAACAGGGGAGGGGCAGAGAGAGAGGGAGACACAGAATCCGAAGCAGGCTCCAGGCCCCGAGCTGTCGGCACAGAGCCCGACATGGGGCTCGAACCCACAAACACGAGATCATGACCTGAGCTGAAGTTGGACGCTTGACCGACTGAGCCCCCCAGGTGCCCCAAGAATTTACATTTCTAACAAGTCCCCTGATGAAGCTGATGCCGTTGCCTCAGGGGCCACACTTCAAGAACCGCCATTCTAAGGTCCAAGACAAAAATAAATCACCCCAAAACTGTACATAAATACTGTACTCTAGATAGTAGGTTTGTTTTCCCCAGGGGTACAGGTTAGCAATTCAGATATCGAGCAAAAATACATTGTGAATAATGAGAGCCAGATTTTACTCTGTTAGAGGAAGGAGTTACACGTAAGAAAAGTCAGAAGGCTGGCGGTGATCAGAAGTCTCAGTATGAATGTGGTGTTTTATGCGCACACCCACGCCACACACACAGAGTATGCAAATAGATGGAGTTGTTTGTATATATACACATATTTCCTAGCTCTGTCGGCTGAGCAGGCCTGGAATTGATGATCCTGCAATACCAATCAATGAGCAGGAGTCCATTTGAAGGGGTTTACAATGGTGAAATTGGTGAATCTGCTCTCTCCCTGCCCCTCCCCTATTCACATTCTCTCTCTCTCTCTCTGTGTGTCTCAGAAAAAATAAACAAACTTTACAAAACACAATGTCTTTTAAGAAAATAAATAAAAATAAAATTTTGTCTGTCTTTCAAGGCTCAGCTCAAGAACCACCCCCTCCAAGTCATCTTCCTGGATTTACTTCGGCACCAAAGTTAGCCTTCTCTTTCCTGGGTAAGTCATAGCTCTTAATTTATTCCTCTTATTTGGCCCCCATGCACTCATTCGCAGTCATACCCATGGCTTTGTACTTGTTTGTATTCATGACTTCCGTCCTCTACCAGATTAAAAATTCCTTGGGAGGGGCGCCTGGGTGGCTCAGTTGGTTGAGCGTCCGACTTCAGCTCAGGTCATGATCTCACGGCTTGTGGGTTCGAGCCCTGTATCGTGCTATGTGCTGACAACTAGCTCAGAGCCTAGAGCCTGCTTCAGATTCTGTGTTTCCCTCTCTCTCGACCCTCCCCTGCTCACACTCTTCTCTCTCTCTCTCTCTCTCTCTCTCTTTCTCTCCCTCTCTCTCTCTCTCTTAGAAATAAAACATTAAAAAAATTAAAAAAAAATTCCTTGGGAGTCGGTTCTTCTGTTGTTCAACTTTCAGTGGATTATTTTTTTTTTCTCATTTTCAGATCGCAGAAGAGTTTCAACGGTCAAATAAGTTGGTAAGTTCTGCCATGTACTTTGAATCTAATCTTTAGTCTCCCTTGTTTCTATGGAGGACTTTTTCTGTGAAATGCTGGAGTCCCTTCCTTTATTCCCCGTGATCTCCTTTATAACTTACAGCCTGTTGGTCTAGGATTTTCTTTTCCATTGCTTTGTAGGCTTGCTTCCACCAGGGGGAGCTCCTTCCTCTATACGCGAACTTCTTTTTCTTGAGGAAGCAAAAGAAAGGAGACTGCATCAGGTAAAATAGCAAAACAGTGGAAAAACAAGCAGTAGGCAATAGGAACTGAGCACATCTTGGGGTCTGACTTGGTCCCAGCACTAGCTGGCTACTCAAATAGCATTTCACTTGTTATATTGTGTTTTGGTACGATGCTGGCCCCGCGCGTGGAGATTTCCTCCTTCCTTACCACTTCACTGATTTTCATCTACAAACGTGTACTGAGTGTGCACTTTGTGTCAGGTGTTATTGTAGACGCCTAGGCTTCCTCGGTGAACAAAACAGACCAAGTTCCCGACCTGCGAAGCTTACGTTCAAATATGGGCAACAGGCAATGAAATGAGGTGAGTACTTACAATACACAGGACAGATGGGGATAAATGCCAAAGAGAGAGAGAGAGAGAAACCAATTCAAGGTCTTATAGACCATTGTAGGAACTTTGGCTTTTTCTTTGAGCGAGATGGGAAGCATCAGGGAATTCTGAGGAGAGGACTGATGTGATTTGATGGCTTTTGTGACTTTTTGGGTAATAAGTTATAAGGGGACAAGCTTGGGCCAGGCTGTTGGCAGTGGCACTGGAGAGAAGTGGTTGGATTTTTGGATATATTTTGAAGGCAGAGCCAACTGAACTTGTCAGCAGATTAGATGGAGGATGCTGGAGAAACAGGACTCAAGGGAAGCAGGGTCACCGTGTTGCATAACACCACTAGCGTTGAATGAAATGTGGCTGGCGCCCTCTGGAGTTGTGTAACCCAGCATTGCTGTTCATGATGTTGCCAAGGTTTTTGTTCCGAGCAGCTGGAAGGATGGAGTCGCATTGGTAAAGACTGTGGGAAGAACAAGGCTGGAAGCATATCAGAAGTTAGATTTTGAGGGACGCCTGGGCGGCTCAGTCGGTTAAGCGTCCGACGTCGGCTCAGGTCATGATCTCACAGCTTGTGAGTTCGAGCCCCGTGTCAGGCTCTGTGCTGACAGCTCGGAGCCTGGAGCCTGCTTCGGATTCTGTGTCTCCCTCTCTCTCTGCCCCTCCCCTGCTCGCTTTCTGTCTCTCTCTCTCTCTCTCAAAAGTAAGCAAACATTGAAAAAAAATTGCAACCCACACATATATATTCAATTACCGTATGGCAAAGGAGGCAAGAATATACAATGGGAAAAGCATATTTCTTCAATATGCATCAATAAGCATATCTCTTTCTGAGTAAGCTGGGAAAACAGGACGGCCACATGGAAAAGGATGAAATGACCACTCTCTTACCCTATACACAAAAATTAGCTCAAAAATGGATTAAAGATGAATGTGAGCCCTGAAACCATAAAACTGCTGGAAGGAGGCACAGGTGGTAGCTTCTTGTCGTCGGTCTTGGTGATGATTTTTTTAATCTGGCCCCAAAACCAAGAGCAACGGAAGCAAACATAAACAAGGGAGACTTCATCATACTGAAAAGCTTCTGCCCAGCAAAGAAAACCATTAACAAAATGAAAAGGCAATCTACCGAATGGGAGAAAATATTTACAAATCACATATCTGATAAGGGACTAATATCTAAAATGTATAAAAAGAACTCCTACAATTCAATAGCAAAAACCAATCTGATTAAAAATTGCCATTATGGGGGCACCCTGGTGGCTTAGTCGGTTAAGCGTCCGACTTTCGCTCAGGTCACGATCTCGCGGTTCGTGGGTTCGAGCCCCGCGTCGGGCTCTGTGCTGACTGCCAGCTCAGAGCCTGGAGCCTGTTTCGGTCTGTGGCTCCCTCTCTCTCTGACCCTCCCCTGCTCACGCTCTCTCTCTCTCTCTCTCTCCTAGAAATAAATAAAACATTAAAAAAATTTTTAAAAAAATTGCCATTATGGGGCATCTGGGTGGCTCAGTCGGTTGAGCGTCCGACTCTTGTTTTTGGCTCAGGTCATGACAGTTTGTGTCAACACGGAGGCTGCTTGGGGGGGTCTCTCTCTCTTTCTCTCTCTCCTCTCTCTCTGCTCCTCCCCTCACTTGTGTGCTCTCTCTCTCTCTCTCAAGAAGATATTTTAAAAAGAATTAAAAAAATAAAAATCGCTGTTAGATCTGAATACACATTCAGAATCATCCATTCATCGTGGACATTCATCCATCCTCCAAAGAGGACATACAGATGACCCATAGGTGCATGAAATGATGCTCAGCACCACTCATCATCAGGGAAATGCAAATCAAAGCCACCATGAGATGCCACCTCACACTTGTCAGAAGGGCAAGTATTAAAAAGACAAGAAATAACAAGTATGAGTGAGGAGGTGGAGAGAGGGAACCCTTGTCCATGGTTGGCAAGAGTGCAAATTGGTGCAGCCATTATGAAAAACAGGATGGAGATTCCTCAAAAAAATTGAAACAGCCCTACCACCTGATCCAGCAACAACACTCTTGGGCATTTATCCAAAGAAAACAGAAACACTAACTTGAAAAGATAAATGCACCCCATGTCCATTTCAGCATTATTTACAATAGCCAAGATATGGAAACAACCTCAGTGTCCATCGATGGATGGAAGAATGGATAAAGAAACGTGTATGTGTGTGTGTGTGTGTGTGTGTGTGTGTGTGTATAATATGAATATATACCATTCAACCATAGAAAAGAATAAAATCTTGCCATTTGCAACAACACGGATGGACCTTGAGGGCGTTCTGCTGAGTGAAATAAGACAGAGAAAGACAGATACCATATGATGTGACTTATATATGGAATCTAAAAAAAGAAAACCCCCAAAACCAAAGCCAAGCTCATAGATCCAGAGAACAGATTGGTGGTTGCCAGAGGCATAGAGTCAGGGTGGGAATAATGGATGAACTGAGGGTGTTTGTTTTTTTTTTTTTTTTCAGTTTAAATAAACTAAAAAAACAACGCTGTGGGAGGAACAGGCTTGGGGGTATATCAGAAGTCACATTTTGAATTTGTTGAATTTGAGATGCCAGTTAGACATTTAAGTGGAGATACCGAGAAAGCTGTGGGACATAAATGAGCCTGGCACTCATACAGGTGGTTAGGGCCAGAGATGAGCATTTTTTAGTCCTAGGCATCTAGATAGTGTTTGTTTTATTTTGAGAGAGAGAGAGAGAGCATGCACGCAAATGGGGAGAGTGGCAGAGGGAGGGAGACAGAGAATCCCAAGCAGGGGCTCGATCCCATGACCGCGGGATCATGACCGGAGCCAAAATCAAGAGTTGGACGTTCAACTGAATGAGCCGCCCAGAAGCCCCTAGAGAGTATTTAAAGCCCTGAGATGGATGATGAGGAGACATGAGAAGACAATGAGAGAAGTGAAAAGAAGGGGACCAAGGGCCCAGCCCAATGAGGAACAAACAGAGGACTGACAAGATGGGGCCAGTAAGGGGGCACCTGGGTGGCTCAGTCGGTTAAGCGTCCGACTTCGGCTCAGGTCATGATCTCACGGTTTGTGGGTTCAAGCCCCGCATCGGGCTCTGTGCTGACAGCTAGCTCAGAGCCTGGAGCCTGTTTCTGATTCTGTATCTCCCTCTCTCTCTGACCCTCCCCTGCTCATGCTGTCTCTCTCTCTCTCTCAGAAAAAAAAAAAAAAAAAAGATGGGGCCAGTAAGGCAGAAGGAAAACCGGAAGAGAATGGTGTTGTGGAAGTCAAGTGAAGATGGTGTGTCAGGGAAGAGGGCACGATCAGCTGTGAAAAGTATTTCTGGTTGGCTAAGCAAGAGGAGGGGTGAGAATGCGCGACTGACTTTAGCAACATAGAGATCGCTCGGGGCCTTGACAAAAGCCATCTCAGTGGACAGAAGCTTGATTGGAGTGGGTTCAAGAGAGAAGGGGGGGGAGAAAAATGATACACAGGGAATCTAGACCAGTCTCGTAAAGAGCTTGGCCGGAAAGGAGAGCGGAGAGAAGGAGCGGTGAGTGGCCCGGAGTGTGGGATATTTAGCGGAGGTATGCGGAATGGGATAGTAGCCAGGGATGCTCAGAGAAGCTAGGGGCTGAGGGAAGCCAAATTGCCAGCAGGTTTGAGTAGAACCCCTGTGGTTAACGAAGAAGAGAACATCTCCACATCCCACGTGGGGCAGAACACTCGGAGCCGTGAGGCCTAGCTGTTCTAACTTGCCCACGTGGTGATTCCAGCCTCCTTCACCAACCTCGGAGAGTCTGGCTTCAATCACACTAAAGCTAGCCCGTGGGTCCCCTTCCAGAAACATCTGTTGTACAGAAGGAAGAGGAAACGAGATTCCTACGCCTACTTTGAGGACGACTAAACCGCAGGGTAGAGTTCGAGGCATGCGGGAAAATGGACTTACGCATCCAGGCCGCCGTTCCACGAATTATTCCCTCATTCCTGGCTGAGAAGTCGCCTCGGCACCAGAAGATGGTGAAGAGCCAGGCTCGTTGCTTAGCTCTGTGTTTTAGTTGCGATGGCTTTGAAAACAGAGAGATTTTGCTGGTCTCCATGTGCCGTTCGTATTTGCGTTTCTTTCCTCTTCTCGTGTCTTCAAGGCCCAGCTCATGCGTCCCTGGTTCTGCAGAGCCTTCTTTGGGACCCCGTGTCAGGCAAAACGAATCGTTTCCTTCTCAGAGTTTCTGTAGAACTTCTCCTCCTTCTGTCTTGGCGCCTGTATTGCATTGAACTGGAACTGTGTGTGGTTGCACGCGGAAGGGGCAGCCGAGGCGCCTGGGCTTTGGAGCTAGGCTGCTTGGCTTCAAATGGTGGTCCTTGCAAGTTGCTTAACCTCCTTGGGGCATCGGTCTCTCATCTACTTTGTCTCGATTTAATAATAATAGTGCTA